ACTTTTACCAGTGTCCCCCCCCCCCGAAAATATCAAGCCCCCCCCCCCCCGAGAGAAAAAAAGTCTGGAAGAAACACTGATTTCTAATTAAAGTTTTGTTTAATTATTTAAACAACCATACAATGAAGAAGAATGTATAACTCAAGGGTATTTAGGGTCATTTGAAAAACGTTCTAGTTTGGTTAGATATGCCCTACCGTAGCTTGACTCTACCTACTCTATTGTTTAAGCAAACAAAACAGTAAGAAAGCTTGACACACTTCTTAGACGTGTTATATCTCTCGATGGCCGATACGGCGTTCACCCCTGATAAACTCACATACACTTTAATTTTTGTCTCTACACAATTTTTTTTAAACAAATGTTAAATAATCACGTGTTGCAACTTTAAAATTAGATAGATAATATTTCCGACATTTAAAACTTTTAGGTTACCGGTCACCCTTTATTAAAAATATTGCGAGTCAAAAAAAATATTGCGAGTCAACAATTTGAAGAAACTGAACCTACGGAAGTACTTACATCATTACCCCCTTTGTTGCTTATTATGAAACCACACCACCCAACACTAAACCAGTGGCGGAACTAGAAAAAAAGGGCCACCTTACAAAAAACATTTCTGCCACCCCCCATATATATATACTAGCCGTCCCGGCCAGGCCCTGCTCTGGCTTCTGTGAAAAACCTTTCTGTTAAAGACCATTACCTGTGTGTTTAGTAATCATCATAAACCCGGCATTGCCCACCCAAACCACAACCAACCAAAACCAAAACAACAAAACGCAAACATAACGCTAACACAATTACAAATACAAACGAAAACAAAAACTTAACAACAAACACAACCACACCCACAAACACCAATACAAACACAAAGAAAAAACAAACAAAAAAGCAAACGAAAACAAAAACCTAACAACAAACCCAACCACAAACACCAATACCAACAAAAAAAAATCAACGAAAAAAGCAAACGAAAACAAACCAAATCCAAACGCAAAACCAACCAAAAACACAAATACAAACCCAAACAAAAAAAACACAAACAAAAACGAAAAAAGAAAGAACAAAAACGAACCAAATTAAAACGCAACCACTAACGCAAACCCACCTAAACACAAAGAAAACACTAACGCGAACATAAACGCCCGGGGCGGAATCCCCTGTTTTAGCTTAATGAACGACTATAGTACCCCAACTTATTCACAGTCTTTTGCACTCACTTAAACGAACGCGCCTGTTTCAATTTAATAAACAATTTTAATACTCCAAGCTTATCCGTAAAATACCTACAACATTTGCACTTGATCAATCCCCGCTAATTATGTAATTATTTTTTTTCCCAACACCAAAACAAAGTAATTAAAAAGTAAATTATTTTCACGGAATGCAATGGTTTTATAAAGGGAAGTAATTGTGTTTTTCCTAATTTATCAAAGGGAAGTAAGTGCTACAGGACTAAATAAAGACATAATTAGAATTTTTGTAAAAGATGATATTTTTTTAAAAACTTGTGTTTAATGAACATGCCGACAATTATTACTATAATTTGAAAAATGAAAATTATTTCCCAACACTTTTAATAGTAATTTTTTAGCTCATAAATTTAGACAAATGCGCACGATAATTTTCTAACACTTAAATTCGTACAATTCCAACGACATACAAATGCATTACATACAGAACTGAGCTTTATATATTAGATAGATATATATATATATATATATATATATATATATATATATATATATATATATATATAATCACAGAATACAAACATGATAATCATTCCTGGCCTGATCAGGTTTCGACAAAAAAAAAGTCTTTTTTTCTGTATACGAGAAAGTAAAAAGGGAGAGCGATTAATTCGAGTTACTAATGAGGACCGCAGGGCAATTGGTAGTAGAAGAATGATTTCATTCTGAACTTTCGCACGCAGATCCTCAGTCACTCGAACATGTAAATTCAACAGGTTCTATATCCCATGATTGATATTCGCTTACATGGCCACAAGTCAAAGAATCTGGCAACCAACACATTCTTCAGCCCTGATATAATCACGATATCTTCAGAAAGTCAGCTATAGCACACACATAGTCAGGATAATATTTACCAGCCGCGTTTGAACCTGTCTCTAGAAACTTGCTTTATTCCTGATACCTTTTTCCTGCACTTCGTTGAATCTCTCCTGCTTTCCTCCAGCGCTGTCGCATCGCAACACATGTGATGTGGATGAAGTTGCTTTCATGCCTATTGATCTTAGTACCACATAGCCGTGATATTACAGGAAAACCATCAATATCCTGCCATAGAAAATAGGAATTACCCTGCTTTCTGGTTTCTATAAAGAAGTAGCTGCTGTTGTTTTTTTCTTGCTATTGTAGACAGTCCATTCAGTTCCATCCTCAAATGCGCCACTAGGCATATTTAATACCGTCAATTTTAACGTATCAACGTAAAGCTGCAGAGATTTGAGGGCGCGATCGAGAAAATAATTTAATTAAAAGATGCTATTATCCTAATATATAATAGACCAAGTGCGCACTTCTCTCTCTGTCCGCAAAATATGTTCACAGGCTATCAGAAATATACGGAAAACTTGATACGGACTTTTGTTGAAAATAATGTTAGATGTTTTACATGTATAAACACAATTTTATTTAAAGAAGAAAAATAAAAAATAAAGGCATATTCGAACGTAGAAAAACAATTTTAATCATGCAACCGAAAAGTGTTTATAGTTGTGACAAGAACGCGATGCAACAATGACGTCACAGGCCAAATGTTTACACTAAGGAAAGATCACAAAACTAATGACGTCATCTTCCGAGTTTAGAATATAAAGAAATGATTTATTTCATTCAAATATGATTTATATCTACGTAGGCCTGCGCTATGAAATGTATACAATATAATTTTCTCGGCCTAAAAATTTACTTTATCTATTAGGATTCTAGATCTAGAGATTCTATATGATGTAGATCTAGATGATATAGATCTACGGAAAAACTACACTTAGACATATCTAGATCTAAACACTACCTAGATCTAGAATCTATTCCAATAATAAATTTATATACTAAGCTATTTCAGGACTTAATTATTTTATTGAAATATTTGTTTAGCTATGCAATTGGCAAATTTGTGATAAAATGTAATTTGAAAGATTATGGCTTATTCGCGTAATTTAAGTTTCTCAACTAACTCTTTTATTCTCCATAAACATTATAGTGTCTAAATAGCTGAGATGATAGTGTAATTGATACCATTCGGTTGGTACGGGTGCGAGACACACAAAGTCAATCTTTAAAAAAAATTCAAATTTTTTAAATATGTGAATGATAAAGTTGCCTATCGGGACTTGGCGGGACACGGGGCGGATGAAGTAGAGTTCACCTGTTTTTGAAAGGATAGTGTGGTAAGTCCCATGCTCTGCCGAAATAGGTGTTTTTAAAAGACAAAAACAACATAACTACAATTGAACAGCCGGGTCTTTAACGAAATCTTTTGTCTCTTAATTTTAAGTCTCTTAATCAGCGAGTGCATTTAATATGGTATTGTATTGACTAATACTGTATATAATTTGGTTTTTATTCTTTAATAGGTATTGTTAATCTGTTTTATTTTAAACAAGTATAAACATAGACAGTACATAAAACAAAACCCCTTTTTCATAATCTTAAGAATGTTTCATTCCAATGCTCATGATCAATAAAATGTTTATTTTCCTAAGTTTCCGATAATGAATTTTTTTAAAAGCTGAATTACAATTCATTTCATTATTCACTTTCCGTAGGTAGGCCTATACACATTTTCTTCAGGCATCTCTACAGTTTCTTCCCCTTTCACCTCCGAACGAAATTGAAAAGAAGTAATTCATACAAAAATATAGAAAAAAAAACAGTATCCGCTACCCCCCCCCCCCCTACGCACACACAACCCACACACCCTCCTCTGTAAGTTTTAAACACCGCTACTGGGAGATGAATATCTTATAAAAAAACCGGGTGGCCTTTTGTAAAGAGAAGAGAGCTAAAAGTCACCAGAATAGCCCGTGTAACGGTACCGATGGCTAGTATTATATATATATATATATAGGCCGACTGTAGGCTATCACCCTAAATATAGCCTACATCATATATAACCAGTTTATTGCACTTTATATTAAATCTTTTAATTGGAGTACCTTTTGATTGTCAGATAACGTTCTGTGATGATCTGGGTTTGATTTAAAACTTGTCACATAATTTTTTTTGCCGTCGAGACATTTCTATAGATGATAACACCACTTAATATGAACTTCAGATAAGAAATTCAAACAACTTATTGTAAGGATTTGTTGCTTATCTTTTTACATATCAACTTCGGACTGTACTCTGCACTTTGCACTTTAACCATCTCAGTAGCGTAGCGGGGGGGGGGGGGGGGGGAGGGGACATATGTCACCGGGCGCCATATTAGGGGGCGTCAAAATGGGTTGGAAAAAATAAATTGAAAGGTTGAGGGGAGTGCAAATCGAAATCTTGAGGGGGGGGGGGGGGGTTGCAAATCGAAAAGTTTGTCCCCAGGCGCCGGGAAGGGTCGCTACGCCTCTGAACCATCACAGTATTTTTGCTTTCTCTTGAAATTTAAGTATTATGCTGATCAAAACACATAAATAAAAATTTAATAGTTTTTCCACAATAATTTATTTCAGTTATCTATCTATCTATCTATCTATCTATCTATCTATCTATCTATCTATCTATCTATCTATCTATCTATCTATCTATCTATCTATCTACCTACCTACCTACCTACCTACCTACCTACCTACCTACCTACCTACCTACCTACCTACCTACCTACCTACCGATCGATCGATCGATTTATAATATATATATATATATATATATATATATATATATATATATATATATATATATATATATATATATATATATATATATATAATGTTGCTATATTTCTATTTAAATATTTTCAATTAATACCCTTTTTAGTTCCATTTTGGACATCACAGAGGTTTCTTACTGCAATAGTCACATTTTGGGGTTTTGCAGTATTATATCTCCAGCGTGTCAACCTTAGTATTGCTATGGTGTGCATGATTAAAACGGAAAACAAAACCTTGGATGGTAATTTCAGGTATACAAACTATTATGAAACATGTAGATCTAGATCTAGGCTCCATGTAATATTTTTATCACTAGATCTAGATCTAGATCTAATACTATTAAATACAGATTTAGAATCTAGATCTAGATCTATTTATTTTCTAGACTATTAAAATACGCTTTTCTTTATAGTTATTTAAATAGTAGTCTCTATAATTTATTTTCTACTTTTTAGTGCATTAGTACATAAAAGCTTGTTACGTTTTTTATGAAATTTTTTTGAATAGCCTAGGCTTAGGCCAATTATAATAATTAATGATAATTATTAATTATTTAATTAATAATATAATATATATTTTTTACTTTTTCTAATTAAAACATATTCATAACAAATAAGTAGATCTAGATCTAGGCCTCAAGGCCTATTCTATCAACTAGACTATCTATAATGATTCTAATCTTAGTGGTTTCCTAACATTTTTGTGTGTTTTGGTTTTGTTTATAAATAATACAATTAAAATAAATTAAAATTAATAAAATACGCTCAACTGGAGATGAACGTGAAGCGGCGAATAAAATGTACGCTAAAGAGTTTTACCATTCCTGTCATATGAAATATTTAAATTTTTAAATTAAAACTGGACTAGACAACTTAGACATAGGATATAGATTCTAGACTCTATTAACTATTAGTATTACTGTTAGCCACATTAGCATATCAACTATTTTTATATTTTCACTTGTACTATTTTTTTTCAACGCCAGTTTCCTCAGCAATGAATCTGCAAACATTATCACAACTCCTTCTCCAGTAATCGGTGACAGTAATTACTGTGATTCATTAGGACTTAAATCTACAACTGATAATGTAAGTGTTTTATTTTTAGGTTTAATTTTCTACATTAAATGTTGTATTTGAATGGTAGCCTATAGATCTAGATCTAGATTCTAGATCTATTACAGAGCAGACTCTTGCTAAAAAAAACTGAATTGCTTGGCTATTTTTTTTTACCTTTTTAGCTGAAAATTAGAAAAAATGGTTGTAAGATAATCTTTTAAGTTTTATAAATGAATTCTGCAGACTGGAGAATTTACTTGGAGTAAAGAATTACAAGGTCTTCTTTTGGGCTCATTTTTCTGGGGTTATTTAGTACTTCAGGTAAAACAGATTTTATATTCAGTCATTTCTTATTATCTAAAGCAATTAATTATGTTAAGTTAAAAATTTTAAAAGTAATTATTACTTTTATTAAAGTATTAAAGTAACAATGTTACTATTTGTTACTAACATAAACTTTAAACAGTGAAAAAGGAATTCCCAATGAATATTTAGGCCTATAAAATTTGTATTTTAATATTGCCAAAATGGCTTCATGTTAACTATTGAAAAATAATTTTTAAAAACCTATTAGGCCTATAAATATTATAAATCATAAATCTAGGTTCCAGGAGGAATGTTAAGTGAACGTTATGGACCAAGGAGAGTTGTAATGTACACTATGATGCCAGCTGCTGTCCTTGGACTTATATCCCCTGTTTCTGCAAGAGTCAGCCCTTATTTTTTTCTGGTTATCAGGGTTTTAATTGGAGTTGGTGAGGTATGTATGTGTTTTATAAAAAAAAAAAGTATTTTTAATGGCCCCCTTTAGTAAATCAAACAAGTCCTTGCTTCTGCTGATTCATTCACTTTATATTATTAAATTAAATGTAGACTACAGAAGATTTAAAGATAGGCTACAGGCTTGCAGTGGCGTAGCTACCGTAAAGCTAGCATAAGCAAGGCATAGGGGCCCAGGGCACTTAGGGGCCCTTTTCCCTCTTCAAAAAAATGTAAACTTTTACATTGGAATTTTAGTATTCGTTTGATATAAATAATTTAAAGAAGAAAATGAATATCCAGTTTCTTTTCTATTGTAGAAATAATTAAAAGTTCCACAAGGCCCCTTTCTTACTTAACAATATAAGTATTGGGGTTCAGTAGGGGGTGGGGGCTAGAACAGGGCCCATCCATAATTATATCACTACAGGCGTTGCAGCATGGTCGTGCAAGCAGTTGAGAGAATTAGCCTATAAATAACTTAATAAGCTTGAGTAATGCGGTGCAGTTTACCACTCAGAGTTTCTCAGCGGCTATCTTTGCACCTGGGATCCGTTGATTGAGTGTCCGGGTCAGCGTTACTATTTAATTCAGCTGTCAAATTGCACGGGAGCATCAGTCGGCACAACAGCCATCATGTAACACCGTGCGATCTTGGCTTTGCCATGAGCACTACGTCAGCTATATTCGTTTTAATGTGCGCCATACACTAGGGATACGTTGGCATACTAAAACCGATCACTAAATTGAAAGAAAGTTTCCTCCAGCACTTCAGCAGTAGTAATGGTTGGACGCCCGATTTACCCAGCGGCTACCAGAGTGCACAAGATCCGTTGATTGCGTGTTCTTTAGAGTCATGGTTACTACTTGTTTCAACTGTCAAACGCTTAGTGGCAGCTTTCGACTACCTACGGTAGTGTAACCAGTCACTCCCGCGATGCCCCTGACACCTCACTATTACAGAGGATGATAAAAACTCAATGCTTTCAAGGGTGTCTGAGCGGTAGTGTGGACCTACCCACGTCCCCACAAAAAAGATCAGACAAACAGTAGCAGTGGCGTTTTTTATTTTATTTTAGCTAGACCTAGATTTATCTCAGTTTTAGAAAGTAACGTCACTAAAAGTACACAATTGGTATCGCATTTATGAAACACAATTTGTTTGCGTTACCCTGGTATGTGGGACTATATCGCAGCAATGCGGGCGGGTACGCTAGTTAGTATAAACATTCTTTAACATTCCTCTGTGATCGGGAAACATTCCTCTGTGATCGGGAAGGAGATTTTGATGCCTATGATGAAATTTTTAAATTTCATTATTTGCTCTTTATGATGATGCTATTTGTTATGAAACACATTGTAAATAAGCCCCTTGAGTCACTAGTTTGGCCATCTTAAGAATCTAACAAACACAAGCAGCTAAAGTAGATCTTAGTGTATGTATTAATCATTTAAAAAAATTAAAAGCATGAAAAAAAAACAGATTTATATAAATCATGCGCAATTATTTTTTAAAATTGTGTTTAGTGGCGTCACCAGGTCGATTTTTATTCTAAGCGTTAACTTAAGGTGTCACACCATCGTCACAACCAATTTTGCATCTTTGGTGGGGTGTTACCCCGTCTCACTTATCTTTTATTAGTTTAGCTGGATACAACTTAGTTTTGACAGTACATTTTACAATGTTTTGACATGGTGTCACGCCTAAATGTTGTCATCAAATGTGGACCACATTATGACGCTGCTGTGTTTACTTAAAAAAAAACAACATATTAACTCTAAGCCTGTAACATTTTTACAAAACTACCAAATAATATAGTATAAATACACAATCAGGACTTAAAAATATAAAATGTACAAAATGTTTCTATTATTTAAAATCCTCCATCATAAGTAGCAGTTGATTTCTTGGTTTAACTCCATTTTAGCCTGACTGCTGATGAAGGGGCCCACTGATAATTTTTGCATAGGGGCCCGAAAAGCCTAGCTACGCCACTGCATGCCACTGATATATATGTATATAATTTTAGAAAATGTTTGATTTTTTTTTCAGTTGCAGTATAGTGTAGTTGACAAAGAATGTAAGCACTGGTGTTTAGCTTCTGGCAAATATCTGCTTCTTTTCCAATTCATTCATGCTCTATTGGTTGTTTGTTTAATGTCTGGAAACATTTGACTAGCATAGCAAGGCCACACAACCTTGAAGGATTAATATGTAGATTTTCTACACAAACAGAATTTAGGCAACACTCAGCACAAAAACTACACTATAGGTTTTAACTAGAAGATATAATTTGTCGGAATAACGCTAACAAAAAGTTTCCGACTCAAAATCACATTATCTAAACATTCTCACTCATCATGCTTTTCTCACCAGTCCTTCTGCTAACTTCATTGCTCATTGACACAAATCCTAGCTCTTAATAACCCTGCCTATAATTCAGTAATTCCTGTGTAAATGTGATTCTAGCCTGTCAGCTACACCCACCCCACATTCTGAATCTGACTCCCAGTCTTCAATTAGTTGTTGCCGCTGTGTCCAAGCATCCAGCAACCTTCCATCCTCAATATGGTATAAGGACGTTCAAGCCACAATCCTTCTGTAGTCTCTTATGTACAATGTACGGTTCCATTAGACTAACTTGGTTACATGTATTTATGTATGTGAGCACACACACACACACACACACATATATATATATATATATATATATATATGAAACCAATGCTACTATTGGCATGAATTGAATCAGCATTACTATAAACTATAAACAACATGAATGATGGATTCCTGGGAGATTTTGGGAGCAATTTAAAAAAATGCAAGTACTCTGACGTTTGTAGTAGATCATCTCAACAGAAAAAAACAAATTAGATCAACATTGAGCTTTTAGAATTAATGCTGGTTCGCTTCAAATCAAATCGCTGGATCAAATCGCGTGGTCGAGTCGGTAAAGCTCATGGTTGCTAAACCGAAAAGTCTCGAGTTCGAACCCTCGGGCAGATGAGGCTCGTTAGCTGGGGACAGCCACTCGTCTAGGAGAGACAACTCCAAAATTAAACAACTGCTGCCTTGTAGTTTGTTCTTGGTTGGACAAAGGCTATGGAAGCAAATCCAAAAAGAAAAGCAGGCTGAAATCGGAGTCAATGGCCTCAATGGCGCATAACCAGTTGACACGTAACGCTTAATTGTGTTGGAGGCGTGGTCGAGTCGGCAAAAAGCTCATGGTTAATAAATTCGAACAAAGTCTCGAGTTCAAACCCACTGGCAGATAAATCTCGATCCCCTTCAATACTAATAATTAAGAACGAAGAAGAAGAAGAAGAAAACCAAACATTTGTCATTGTGGAGTAATAACTTGACAGAGCTCAAGGACAAGCTAAAATAGTTGGAGGTCCAGTAAAACATGCACGTTTCGCTGCACAACTGGACAGCTCTACAAGAAATACCGCGAGTTGAGGCATTATTATGTGACTAACGGTATAGTCTTCCAGAATATACACCTAATCTTAATCAAATAAAAAATTGAAATAAAAATGTTAGTGGCTCTTTAAAAACTGGAAAATTTTGTAAATTGTAACTTTTGGCTCTTCCATCTCAAAAGGTTGCCGACCCCTGGTATATCCTATTAGCTAGATCAGTTTATTTTTTTAATGGTACATAATCACTGAATAAATACTTCCTTTCATCTTAGAGTGCACTATATCCAGCAGCTCAAGCATTGTTTGCTCGGTGGTCACCTCCTTCAGAAAGAAGCAGATTGGTGGGTGTTTCACTTTCAGGTAGTAAATTGCTGTTTTATGACTGAGTGTATCACTTTAATAGCTGAAAACATTTTTATTTAGGTTTAAAAAAAAACATAAAATTAGTTCAATAAAAATTGGATTTCAAATGTTTAAGGAGTTATCATATTAAAGTACCAAATACAAAGTAGTAAAAATGACTATTTTTACTTAAACTGAAAGCCTACATTACTCTAGCAAATTAAACTCTTTAAAATACAAATATTGATTGAATGAAAGTATTAAATGCTGCAGTCATAATTTCAAATTGTAGTTTCACAGATAAAGATTTTATTTTTAATATTTTGAATGAATTCATGATACAACCATTTTATATGGTGGTGTAAAAATCCATACATAATCTGCAAATTTTCAATTAAATGAATGAAGTGCTACTATTTTTAATTGGTTGCAAATATTATATACCTACATCAAATATATTCCACCTGGACATCACCCGATGGCAAAACAAAGAACCAAATTGATCACATCACAGTTTCCAGAAAGTGGAGAAGTTTAATGGATGTTAGGGCGAAACGAGGTGCAGATGCAGCCTCAGACCACCAACTCGTGGTTGCAATACTAAAATTAAAACTAAAATCTAACAGGGATCGAGCTGATAAACCGCACTTTAAATTCAATACAACATATCTTAGGTGTCCAAAAATAAAGGCAGACTTTAACTGCGCTGTAAAAAATAGGTATGAAGCACTCTCCAGCCTGGCAGAAGAAACAGTAGAGCAAAAATGGCTAGGAATACAGGAACTATGTAAGTCAACATGCACTGACATATTGGGGAGAAGAAAAAATGAACAAAAAGAATGGATCACAACAGAGACATGGGCCAAAATTGAAGATAGAAAAGAGATAAAGCAGAAGATTAACAAATGTAAGGATAAAAAAGAGAAAATAAACCTCATAACACATTATTGTGAAGTAAATCGCATGGTCAGGAAAAGTGCAAAAGAAGACAAAAGACAGTTCATACAGGAGATGATAGAGGAGGCAGAAACTGCGGCACGACAAGGAAAAATGAAGAGGCTCTATGAGGTAACCAGGACACTATCAGGTAAGAACATTAATCCCAACAAACCAGTAAAGGATAAAGTAGGAAATATCTTAACAAGTGACACAGAACAGAGAGACAGATGGGTACAACACTTTGATTTTAAACCATCCTCTCTCATCAAACACCCCGGATATACCACCTGCAAATCACCTACTAGATGTGTGTACAGATCCACCCACAAAGTTAGAAACAATAAGAGCAATAAAAAGCATGAAAAATGGCAAAGCAGCTGGCCCGGGCGGCATCCCACCAGAGGCACTCAAGGCAGACCCAGCCATATCAGCAGACGTACTACATCCTCTACTTAAGCAGATTTGGGAAGAAGAGATAATCCCATCTGACTGGAAACTGGGATACCTGATAAAACTGCCAAAGAAGGGAGACCTGACACAATGCAACAACTGGAGAGGGATAATGCTTCTTTCAGTTCCAAGTAAGGTGCTAACAAGAATCATCCTAGAGAGACTTAGAGATGCCTTGGACAAAAAGCTGAGACAAGAACAAGCTGGTTTTCGTCAAGACAGGTCATGTACTGACCACATTGCCACGCTGCGCATCATTATTGAACAGTCCCTTGAGTGGCAATCCCCCTTATACATGACTTTGGTCGACTTTGAAAAGTCGTTTGACAGCGTGAATAGAGATGCTATCTGGAGTTAATGAGCCACTATGGAATACCCAAAAAATTTATATCTATCACACAGAAACTATATGAAGACTCCACCAGTCAGGTAATACACAAGGGAAAGCTAACAAAACCATTCACGATGACGACAGGAGTAAGACAGGGATGTATGCTATCGCCAATGATATTCTTGATGGTAATCGACTGGATCATGCTGAGGGCCACAAAAAACGACACAGGAATCCAGTGGAGTTTCACAAAAAGGTTGGAGGATCTTGATTTTGCCAATGACATCTGCCTACTATCTCATAAGCATCAACACACGCAAGCCAAACTAAATCGGCTGTCTGAAGAAGCCTCCAAAATTGGACTAAAAATCAATAAAAACAAAACAGAGGTCATCAGAATCAATAACAGCCAGGACCTGCCCAAACAGCTAAATGGAGAAGATTTACGAGAAACAAACACATTCACATATCTGGGAAGCGTGATCAATAAGGACCGGGGAGCAGACGAGGACATAAAATGCCGTATCAACAAGGCTAGATGTGCCTTCAACTCACTGCGCCCGATGTGGAGGTCCACGGCCCTGTCACTCCAGAGCAAAATTGGGATTTTCAACACAAATGTTAAGGCACTGCTACTCTATGGCTCGGAGACCTGGAGAGTTACGAAGACAAATACTGATAGGCTACAGGCGTTTGTTAACAAATGCTTACGACATATTCTCAAAATAAGATGGCCAGACAAAATATCAAACAAAGACCTGTGGCAAATTTTAAAACAACAGCCAATAGAGAAAGATATCAAGGCCCGTAAATGGGGATGGATCGGACACACGTTAAGAAAAGAAATAGAAAACATCGCAAAACATGCATTGGACTGGAATCCCCAGGGGAAAAGGAGGGTGGGCCGGCCAAGGAAAACATGGAAGAGAACGGTTGAGGAAGAGGCGAAAACAGCTGGGCTCTCATGGGCACAGATTAGAGGAGCAGCCCAAAACTGAGTCCACTGGAGATGTGTGGTTGCAGCCCTTTGCTCCCCAGGGGCCACAAAGGAGTGATGATGATGATGATCAAATATAATGTAGGAGGAAAATTGAGTTATACATATTCAAATATTTATTGCAGCAATTTTTGCTTATTCTAAGCGATGAAAAAATAATCCAAATTTCTTACTTTTACGTTCCAACTACATAGGTGGACAGTTTGGCAATGCATTGATCTTTCCTATTGGTGGACTTTTATGTAGCAGTCTAGGGTGGGACTCAGTATTTTATGTTATGGGTAAGTTTATTTAACAAATAACAATTTCATTTTCAATAGTCTTTTCTAGGCACATTAAAAACTTATGTAATAATTTACAGGAGCCATTGGTTTTGTGTGGTGTATACTTTGGTATGTACTAGTATACGACAGCCCTTCTCTCTCTAGAAGAATATCATCTGCTGAAAGAGGGTACATTCAACATCATGTTTTGTTCAGAGATGGGCAAAAGCCAGTAAGTTGTCATATTCAAACTGAAATGTTTTCCAACAGAATCATACTTTTGGACATTTAAATTTAAGATTATTTTTCCTTCTTAAGTTGATGCCTTGCTATTTTCTGTAAACTTTTACCCTCACGAAAATGCATATAGTCATAGGAATGAAAAATGTTCTTAGAATGGCTTGTTACAGTTACTGTTTTTTTTTTACAGCAACCTATGCCTTGGAAATCTATTTTTAAATCCTTGCCATTTTGGGCTATACTTGTTGGTCATACTTGTGGAAATTATGGCCTTTACATGTTGCTCACCCAAATACCCACATACATGAAAGAAGTACTCAAATTTGATCTTAAATCAGTGAGTATTATCTGCCTTTTATTTTTACAGACACCAACACGATAATTATGTGTTTGGTCATAATTTCATGACCTTTAGTTTTACATTAACATCTCAAACTAATAATTGATTTAAAATGTTTATGAGTTTCACATATTTTTCAAAAGCTAAATGGTTTATTCTTGTTTTAGAATGGTGCTTTTTCAATGTTGCCATATCTAAGTATGTGGCTGTTTATTACTATTGCTGGGGTAACATCAGACCTTCTCATCACTCGAAATATCTTGTCACGTGTTGCAACTAGAAAAGTTATGTCAGCTATAGGTAAGTTTAATCCTATTAAAAAGTAAATTTTTCGCCCTCTAGTTCTGCTTAGTTTTCTAAAAAGTTGTTAATATTACACGACACATCTCATTTATTGATTGAAAACTATCCAAAAATAATTTTTAATGACAGTCTTGCGATGGATTTTGACCCCTTCCATTCAATTCGCAGGCCTTTTTACTTTCTTGTATTATATATGAAGTATAGAGAAAGTCTTGTAATCGTGCAAAAAAAAAAAATCGAGATTTTTACAAATCTCGACGTTTTACATCTCACTGATACGGAAAAACATAATTTTGCAATCTTGTCCGTATGTCTGTCTGTGTGTGTGTTAACACGATAACTTGAGTACCGTTACAGCTAGGTTGATGAAATTTCATATATAAGTATTTTATCAAAATCGTAGATCCGTATCAACTTTTGAGCTATTTCCGATAACCGGAAGTGGTACTTTTTCTACTTTGAATTTTTCAAAAGCCTATAACTTGAGTACTATTTCAGATAGATAAATGAAATTTCACATGTAAGTAAAAGATCTAATTCTCTACCTTCTGTTAAATTTTGAGTAATTTCCGTTGACCGGAAGTACTAATTTACGCTTCTTCCGATTTCTCAAAAAAACTAATGTAAATTTTTAAAGTACTAATAATATTGCACACTATTATGCACTTTTTTATTTGGCGTTCACTTGGTGTGCAATTCTTTTGTCTACGAGATTTTATTCTATTTTTAAAACTTTAAGTATTTAAAATGGATTAAAAATCATGTCTATATCCCGAGTTCCCATACAATGTTGTTTTATATAAGAATATTCGAGAAAGTTTAGGGGAGATCACTCCCGGTTTATTTAACCACTTAAACATATTTCTTTACAAATAACTGTAAGATGTTCAAAATTGAATAGCTTTTAGTAGGATAACTAAATAAAACAAATGCATTAAAAACTAAATATTCTAAATGTTAAAATTAAAAACAAAACTAAGCAATTGGAAAATTAATATGTGATTCTGACACCATATAAGTTTTTATTAGTATTTTCAGAAAGGTGGTTTATTTTTTGTTAAAACACTGAAATTGTTTATCATTTCTGAGTAAGTAGGGCGAAAAAAAAAGGCTGAGCTTGACAAAACACACCATTAAAGCATCACTTAAATCGCTCTAGGCTTGGTCTTAGAATCACGAGTTCTTGACATAGCAGCTTTCTAAAAGCTCTGGGACAGTTTTTAAACAAATCAGGATGCACATTTTGTTTTGTTTAAAACTTGATATTAATTAACTTTTTAAAATGTATAGAATTGAATATAGGGTACACTATTTTAATAAAAAGGGATAAATAATACATTTAATGCTAACAGATCCAACTCACTATATTAGGTAAATCTATTTACCTGTTGTCCTATGTTCTCTAAATTGATTCAGCCAATTAATTGTACTTTAATATTTTTCTGTTTCATAACATTTGTTTTATTTTTAGAAGTCTTTTATTTCATACTATTAATACTTTACACTCCAACTTTATTTTATAATTTCAGGCCTATTTGGACCTGCTATTTGTTTAGTAGGTGTGACTTTCATGGACTGTACTCAACAAATTGGTGCAGTTGTTCTACTGTGTGGCACTGTTGGTTTATCAGGTGTTGCATTTGCAGGCTACATGGTCAATCATGGAGATATTGCACCTCAGTTCGCTGGAACTTTGTTTGGTATAACAAATGTTGCTGCTACTATTCCTGGTATTCTAGCACCTTATATTGTTGGTGCTATTACAACAAACGTAAGTGTGCATATTATAATTAAAATAAAATAAAAATGTGGGGGATGGCGTGTTTGGGTCAGTAAAGGTCATGGTAGCTCAACTTAAGTCATGAGTTTGAAGCCCCTGGCAGATAGCAACTCATGTAGGAGAGAAAACACCTGTCTAACAACTGCTGCCTTGTAATTTGTTCTAGAAGGGACAAAGGCTATGGAAGCAAAGTCAGAAAGGTAAGCAGGCTGAAATTTGAATCAAGGGGCTATATAGTGGATAACTTGTTGACATATGTTAACAGAAATCCCATACAGCATTACAATTAAGAATGAAGAAAACATATTCTGTTTAAAACATATTGTAACAGCACGTTTCACTTACATTTACAGCAATGTTATAGGTGAAACTTTTATTTGTTTGTTACATTTTATTGCAGGAAACAATTATTTGATGTTTACATTTTATTGCAGAAAACAAGAGAGGAGTGGCAAATTGCATTTTTCATTGCAGCTGCTATATATGTATTTGGTGGCATATTTTATGTAGTATTTGCAAAGACCACATTGGAAAAATGGGCTAAGTCACCTCCTACAAAAGAACAGGATGCTGACTTGCAAGAGTCTCATCACATGATTGACATTGGAAATAAAATATGAGAGCATGTTTTGAATTTTTGAACAAGAAATGTGTGCTTTTTTGAATGTATTATTACTACTATTACAGGTGATTTTTAAAAATTAGATCTTCATTATCCTAAGTTAAACTGTACATAACTATAGATATCTTACTTTAAGAATGGCTATAGTGCTTTAGGAAAACATATTTAATATGATTTTTTTATTTTATTACTTTTAAAAATCTATATTCTAAAAAAGTTGTTTACAAAGTAAATGTTGCAATTAACTAACTTTTTTTGCAATAAAATCAAATATGATTAATTTAAATAAAAAAAGTTTACTGCCACTGAATTATTCCCTGCTTTATTTCGGCCTACCAATGACTCTTAAGAGACTTGCATGTTTAATAGTGATGTATAATATGTGTAATAATGAAAACTATAGTGTTTGAACAAATATATAAACATCTTAATATGATGAATGAGCATTTGAACTTTATTTCTTTAATGATTTCCTTTCAAAGGTGCTAAGTAACACAACTGAATATTTTTCTTGCCAATGAAATTGTAAATTTTAATTGAAATTTTGAACACTAAAAATAATTCAAAAATTTGCACAATGAAAATTAACTTGTAATCTTAATATAATTGTTAATTTTTTAAAACTGTGATTTTGTTAAATATTACCTATTTATAAAGTTAAATGCATCATATACTTCTATGAAAATCACAGTCAGAACTATCTGTATATTTTTTAAATGCTGTAAGTGTGCCATATATAGTTTGGAAATATTGTTTTAAAGTCTCTCTGTGATTATTTGTTTACAAGACCATTTAAATGTGTTCCTGCGTGAATTGTTTAGAAAAGGTTTTTTTAATGGTACTTTAGAAACAAGACTCAAGTTTTCAAGAGTACTTAATTCAAGCACAAAAAACTAAGCTTGTTAGAAGCCTGAATCAATGTAAGGACGTAGGCAACTCAATGTAAATACTCAAAGGTGGTTTAATATGAATTATTTTACCATTTTATAAAATAACAATATAAAATTCAATTAAGTATTTAAAGTATGTATTGCAAGGCGCTAAAGCTTGTAAAGCTAGAGAGAGGTAAATTTATTACAAAATTTTAAAAATTATAATTTATTGTTTAATTATAACGCTTATAAGTTTGTAATTTACAAGTTTTTTGTTTGTTTTTATCTTGCTTAGTTTTTGCATTTTAAACTATAGTTGGCAAAAATAACAAGATATTTAATCCGTTTTATACAGGTCAGTGAATAGTACATTTTCTGAAAAATAAAATAAAACCAACACATTTTTACAAGATCGCTTGTCACTATCTGTAGCAGAGCAAACTATCCAAGGATAACCTGGAAAGTCTCACTTTCTTACCAAGAAAATATTTTGATTCTATGACAACTTTAGACTCTTAAACTGTCAAGCTGGGGTTAGAAATGAAATATTGAGAGAGAATAAGAATTTTGGCAATGATCTTCTATAGTAGACTATTATTTATTAACATTTATGGTATTAACATTGAAGCTTTCTATATGCTGCGAGTGTTGTAACATCATAGTTATTAAAACCTATTTTGAGCAGGAATTGTTGGTAATGAAACTAATAGAAATTGTGTTTGAAATATGTAAGCTTATAATACATATACTTATAAACCATTGTTTTTTTTAATTAGTTTATTTAATTGCTCCAATATTAGATATTAGTAAATGAAAATTTGGTATGTTTTATTCATTTGTTTTGACTATAAATAGCATGGAGTCGACCATGTGGTTATTAAAAAACATTTACATTATTTTCATATATTAAAATATCTTCTTGTTGAAAGAAGAAAGTATTTTTTGCCATAAACTCTGTCATTACTGTCATATCAGCTCCCTATATAGTCATTTAAAATGAACATATTTGCTTTAAAAAAAAAAAGCTCAGGGGTAATGAAATCTGGTTATTTTATTCTTTATCTATTTTTATAAATCAAGCTTTTTTTGACATACATAACTCTTAAAAGTCAGATTGTAATGCTGCATCTAAATACAAAATTATCACTAATGTATATCTAGTTTAGGTAATTAAATCAAGTATTAAAACCTTTATATAAACAAACTAGCCGTCCCGGCCCTGCTCTGGCTTCTGTGAAAAACCTTTGTTAAAGACCATTACCTGTGTGTTTAGTAATCATCATAAACCCGGCACTGCCCACCCAAACCACAACCAACCAAAACCAAAAAACGCAAACACAATTACAAATGAAAACAAAAACCTAACAACAAACAACCACCAATACAAAACAAAGAAAAAACAAACAAAAAAGGAAACGAAAACAAAAACCTAACAACAAACCCAGCCACAACCACAAATACAAAACACAAAGAAAAAACAAACAAAAAAGGAAACAAAAACCTAACAACAAACCCAACCACAACACCAATACGAATCCAAAGAAAAAAAAAAACGAAAAAGCAAACGAAAACAAACCAAATCCAAACGCAAAACCAACCACAAACACAAACAAAAAAACACAAACGAAAAAAGAAAGAACAAAAATGAACCAAATCAAAACGCAACCACTAACGCAAACCCTACCTAAACACAAAGAAGACACAAACACGAACATAAACGCAAAGTGCTCACAGTCTAGCCCGGGGCAGAATCGCCTGTTTCAGCTTAATAAACGACTATAGTACCCCAACTTATTCATAGTCGCACTCACTTAAACGAACGTAGGTGCCAAACCAAACGAACAATTATAATACTCCAAGCTTATCCGTAAAATACATACAACATTTGTCAACGACAAACTTATTACAAACATACAGAATTGAGCTTTATATATTAGATTATAATAGTAAAAAATAAGGTTGGTTTTTATAATTACTTTTTCTACTTTTTAGTATTTAGATATAACAAAGTCAACATTTAAACCATTTTAATTTGTTCTATTCTTTTCGTTATTAATAGTTGACAACCCACTCAAATTTATATTAAGACATAATTGCTTTAAAACACACTCTGTATCAATTACCTTCCCCTTTAATGTTATCAGTGGTCTACTCTCAAGTTTGTAAAATTCATGTCTGATACTGTTACTATTCTACTCTAGATCTTTTACCTCCTTCAAAAGAACTAATTTAATACTAAAAATATTTTGCTGGAAAATGTGGGACATTTTTGCTTTCTCATTGGAGGCAAATTTGTCTAAAAAGAAACCACTGCAATTGAAATAGTCACAATTGAGTTAAAGATATGACCTAGCATCCATCCCAGACAGACCTAAGTAAAAGCTTTTAAAATAATAAAAATGAAACAGGAGCTATCATAAATTATTTGTAAATATGTTGTTAACTTTTTTTTTACGCAACACATTCTAGATAACACTTTAATAACAAACATTTTTAAAGGTAAATAATTACTAAAGAAATTATTAGTATTATAAAGACAATTAAGTGGTTAGATTAATTGTTTTATATGTGATTGGTACTCTGCACAATTAATTTAAAAGTTGAACAATTTGTTGTCTCAGTTGACTTAAACTGTTTAAACCCAGACATCTTCTAAATACGTTTTGTTGATCCTCTTTTTCATCACAAATAGGTGTGCATCCTCGGAGGACATACCTTTAATGAACAAATGCAAAAAAATAAAAAAATAATATTTTTTACATTTATTAGAACTTGAGAGAAAATGATTGAGTATTTCTTGTCATTGTACTAGTTGAAGTAGAATAATGGAGTAAAAGAAGGTATCCTATAGTTGTGATTCATGTACTCAAGAGAAATGAACTATATTAAAGAAAACTTATTTATTGTTTTTAATTTAAGAATGACTAGTTAAAAGGTCACTAATAATAGTAGTATTTACCTTTTTCCTTCTGCAAAATTTCCTCAAAAGCATCATTAACATTCTTGGCCATATTCTTTGCATCACCGCACACATACACTAATGCACTTGATTCAACAAGCAGACGACAGAGTTCAGGGGCAAGTTGACGCATTTTGTCTTGCACATAACATGAATTTGCATCCAAGGGAAGTGATGGGTCACGTGAGTAGGAAACATGTAATTTAGTCAGTATTTCGTCTCTTTCAAATCTCTCTAATTCTTCCCTTTAAAAACATTTTAGAATCAAATTTGATTTTGCAAACTTGGAATAGAACTTTTATATATAGAACAATATTAGTTGATGGTGTTTACAACAGCAAACTATAATATTTAGAAAGCCAAAGGACGTCACAGTTCACTCTAATAAGAACCTCACTTAATTGGAGAAGTTGTTGGCCCTGCTACTTTATGGAATAATTCATTCATTTAACAGAGATACTTTTTAGATTTGAATAAATAATGGCAACTTACTTGAAAATAAAATCAAGACTTTTATTCCTACAGCCAAAAAACAACCAAGTTTGTCCATACTGATCCACTGTTTTTCTTTTAGCATTTCTCTGTTGTAAAAAACCTATGAATGGGGCCACACCAGTACCTGGGCCAATCATCACTAGAGGTTTTGAGAGATCTTCAGGAGGTCGAAAATGCTGATTTGTCCTCATGAATATGGGTATCTTTACAAAATATTGACTAAATATATAGCAGCAATTAAAGTATGAATTTTTTTTTAGATACTAAATTCAACATACCAAGATAAAGAAAAAAATTAAAATATACCATAATCTACATTAGCAAGGTAACATAAAAAAATGAATTATTTACACACACCTATAGGTGTGCATAAATAAAGATAAAACCATAAATTATTTTCTTCCTGTAAATAGGCAGTAAGTCAATACCTTTATGAGCTGAACAGCATTTTTTTCAAACTGCATGCAAGAGGTTATATCATCCAGCCATCCAGTGCAAACACCACGTCTCTGATAATGGTGCCCTTTCTCCACGTTATAATTTATTTCAACCACATTAAAAACAATATCAAGTTGATCAGGGCTAGTCTCTGGACAACTGTCAAACAACAAGAGGTAATAAATACTATGTTATAATTCAGAAAACCATGAGTCTTGTAGAAGATGGGATAAATGCTTTTAAAAGCCACTGAAGGAATTAGGCAATCAACTTTTAAAAACTAGACCAACAAAATGAACAAGTAATACTAAATTCTAAAAGAGGACTGTACTGGAGAACATTCTTTTGACTATGTATGTAACAAAGTATAGTCTTCGCAAAATTTAAAAAAAAAAAGATTTATATCAATTATATCTCAAGAATTTAATTCATTTTATAATCTTGCTTGTATGTTGAATCACTCCTATCTCAAAGCTAATGAAATCCTTAAAATCCCACCCCCCCCCCCCCCCGTTGCTTAGGATATGTTTTACTATCTCGAAATTGGGATTTTGACGGTTCTGAAGGTTTTACACCTCCCTGAGTCTGAAAAACTTACTTTTGAAATTTTGTCTTATGTCTTTCTGTGAACTTGAACTTGAGTGCAAGTTTCAGTTATGATAACAAAATTTCAAATATAAGTATCATACCATATTTATAGTTCGGTATTAACTTTTGAGAGATTTCTGGTAACCGCACTTACAAGTATTACATACACACACACACTTTTATACATATATACATTTATACATCCATATACATATACATTTATACATCCATATACATATACATTTATACATCCATATACATATACATTTATACATCCATATACATATACATTTATACATCCATATACATATACATTTATACATCCATATACATATACATTTATACATCCATATACATATACATTTATACATCCATATACATTTATACATCCATATACATATACATTTATACATATACATTTATACATCCATATATACATATATATTTATACATATATATTTATACAAATATATTTATACATAAATATACACATAAATATACACATAAATATACACACACATATATACACACACATATATACACACACACATACACACACACACATATACACACACACATACACACACACACATATACACACACACACACATACACACACACACATATATACACACACATATATACACACACATATATACACACACATATATACACACACATATATACACACATATATACACACACATATATACACACACATATATACACACACATATATACACACACATATATATATATACATATATATATATACATATATACATAAATACATATACATATATATATATATATATATATATATATATATATATATATATATATATATATATATATATATATATACCTCACGAGATCAGCCTCTCAACTGACCAATCTTATTTGACTAGTCTTACTAAAGAACAGACCAGCTTCTCTCAACAGACCAGCCTCTATGAACAGAACAGTCTGGCCTTTCAAGAATTCAATGCGACAGACACTGCAATACAACCCTGATGCCATTATCTACTTCAAAGTCAATTAGCAGATAGTTAGCAATATATAAACTTGGGTTGCAACATTAAGATCCTATCCCTGGTCCCTAACAATTTGTACAAGAGCAGAAGAAAGATTAAAGCTGTCAAATATGAGCACCTACAAGAAGGTCATAAATGTACATTTTTTGCTAACTTACCCAACTTTTAAACATTTTACCCACTTTAATATTTTCTCAAGTGACTTTTTAAAAGAATAAATAAAAACTAAACAAATTTTTTTATATGGATGCATTTTTCTTTGATGCCCATTTTTAAAGATAAGTAAACCATAAGCCATAAGTAAGTAGTTATTAATTAAAACCATACCCAAACATCTCAACTTAAAATTAAATCATAATGTAGAATAAACTCAAATAATAGAAATATGAGCACAAAACTATATTCTAGATATTATTAGGAATTAATGATAACTTTTAAACATAAACATAAAAAAATTACGTTCCTTGGAAAAAACGAACGGACTTGGCTGAGAGCAAAATTCTCGGTTCCAACCGGCTAAGTCTGCGCGCACTAAGATAAGACGGTTTGGCCGCGAGAGTTTTAAACTGAGCTAACCTGCTATAATGTTGTAAATATTAACAAAACTCATTTCAAATCGCTACAGTATAGTCGGTAGAGAGTTTATTCGCACGTATAAATAAAATGATTTTTAATTAGAGCAATCGAGAATGAACTAATCAGTTTTTTGTCTCTCCTGTAAAATTTACATTTTCGGAGTTAGACTGTTTTTGCCCGAGACCATTGATATGTATATATATATGTGTATGTATACGTGTGCATGCATGTGTGTGCATGCATATGTGTGTATAATGGTAGTGCTAGAGCCTCTCATATAGCAGTCATAACATTTGGTGGAGCAGCGAAACAACGACAGTAGGCCTCAACGACCATGCTATGACGACTCTTATTGTGAAATCCCATGGGTGAAGATCTTTGTGAAATCAACTTGACTACACATAATATACGACGTATTGTACCAGGACAAGGGAATCCAGTGTGACGGGAAGTGTGTCATCGCATTGGTTTAGTGTGTGGACTGTATTTTCATTAACCAAGATAAGTACCTTCCTCTAATTATTTATAAGTATTAGGGATTTTTCGGTCCTGTGCTGGGTATTGTACCAGTTTTCTTCTGTTTGGTTTCAGTTTCAGTCTATTGGTGCCATTATCACTTGTTTAATACCTTATTATAATTGCTTCTTTAAATATCACCAACATTACAACATGCCTCCATTGAACGAAATACTAACTTGAACTAAGCCCGAGTTAGGCCCAAAAAATAGTGGTGACTCATCGCTTATGAGGAAAACAAGTGCAAAGCAAGACAAAGTTGTTGATGCAGATAAAGTATTTGAGGTAGTCCAGAAAAGACTTATTATATCAGATGTCTTTAGAAGAATACAGAATTAAAGTAGGCTACAGAGTTCACAACACTGAAGTCATCAACAATGACTTCAATGCCTAAAGTAAAAACACATCACAGCAGGATTTACCGACGACCTTAACACTCTCAAAGTCATGGTACCATCTAAAACAAGTAACAGCAACAATACGCTTGCAATAGAAAGCCACACCAGCAAACAAATCATCAATTCAGAATTACAACAGTAACAACCTTGATAAAAAAAAGCGTACAACAATCAGAAAACGCCAGCAGTAAAATACCTCTAGTCAAAGCAACAAGCAACAAATTGTCACAAGACATTAGACAACTAGGAATCCCAATACAAGCCCAGATAGCAATAAGCAAGCAAGACACAACACAAATAGAAATCTTCAGTAGGAAAACAAAGACAATCTCAGAAACAGCTATCAACAAACAACAACAGCAAAACTCAACAATGGACACAGACACAACAACAAACAAAAGAAAAAAAGACGACAGCCCACAGAAAATCAAAAGACCACTCAAACTACTGAAATCTGGTAACACTGAAAAAAAAAAAAACAGCAATCAATCCAATCATCAACGCTGAACTAATCCAAGACGCCGAGGATACAGAGAGCATAGAGCAAGAAGACATAAGATGCTGACTCTGCTGGATACATTTTGACAATGAAGAACATTAGATAGAACATGAAAATGAGCATCCGAAATTTACAAAATGCTTGCACTGCGAAAACAAAATCAAAAGCAGTCAAGCAATGAGTCACCAAGCGAGGAAACACACAGAGGAACCTGTGTTCCGTTGTTTCTACTGTGACATTTGATTCTTCACAGAAGAGCTCTGGAGTATCCACAATAATGAAACGCTCTGGGAAAAAGAAGATGAAGAGGAATTCTACAAAATCCACTTCTGCTTTACACCAGATAACAGATTACTAAGAATAACTAAGACATAGAATCCATTTGAGCTTTGTAATTGTCATGAACTTTATGTTCTCTAAAAACAAGAATTGAGAGTTATGACAAGCACAGATTAATTTTTACAAACATTTCATGTATGCATTTTTCATGTGAACCTGCTCTTGCAGCCTACCCATGCTCGAGTGGGGAAGCAGAAACAGAGGAATTATATTAAAGGCAAAAAAATAAAAATAAAATAACGGAGCCACAGAACCCATATGAGCTTTAGGCCCCTATATATATATATATTAGATATATATATATATTAGATATATATATATATATTAGATATATATATTATATATTAGATATATATATATATTAGATATATATATTATATATTAGATATATATATTATATATATATATTAGATATATATATTATATATTAGATATATATATTATATATTAGATATATATATTATATATTAGATATATATATTATATATATTAGATATATATATTATATATATATATATTAGATATATATATTATATATATATATATATTAGATATATATATTATATATATATATATATTAGATATATATATTATATATATATATAATATATATTATATATATATATAATATATATTATATATATATATAATATATATTATATATATATATAATATATATTATATATATATAATATATATTATATATATATAATATATATTATATATATATAATATATATTATATATATATAATATATATTATATATATATAATATATATTATATATATATAATATATATTATATATATATAATATATATTATATATATATATAATATATATTATAGAGTCCTTGCAAACACGTGACCTAAATCACGTGATACCTACGCCCGCCGCCACAGTGGTGTACATCAGACGTAAACACAATCAGCTGTTCGCCAGCGCTGGACGTGTTCACCAGCGCTGGACGTGTTCACCGTATGTAAAGAATCGCGCCCGCGGAAAAGGAAAAATATGTTAAAAAACTTGAACTCTTAGGAATTGAAGATCCTTATACAGTTATTGACAGTTTCGTGGATAATATAAATATGTGGCCGAAATTTCTAAATAAAAATACTGTTAGTAATACCGTTTGCGTTTAGAGTTTAAGTAGACGAAGCTGATCAAATGCAGTAATATATTAGAGGTTATCTACTGTAGCAAACGTGAGA